ACATGTTTTAAATCAAATCTAGTAGATTAAGTAGATTTGGATTTGTCAAAAATGTATGGGAAATCTACATGATTTCAACTAGTTTTGGACAAATCAACTAGATTTGCTCGAAACGCCTCAGTGGAAACATAGCATTAAAGTATTAAGTCTTGGTTCAAATGTAAATCGCATCGAAAATGTAAAACCATTTCCTAAAATGAAAAATATTCAAAACTATCTATCGATACATCTGTAAAACCTGTACAACAACCACTTCGACGTATACCAATTGCTCTTGAGGACAAAGTATCAGCTAAACTGGATGAAGCAATTAGTTTGGATATAATTGAACCCATCCATTTACCAAGTCCTTGGATTTCACCGGTTGTGATTGTTTTTAAAGGTAACGGTAAAATGAGGTTATGCATTGACATGCGGCGCGCAAACAAAGCTATTTTGCGTGAAAATTATCCCTTACCAACATTTGAGTCCTTTATGACAAAGTTAAGAGATGCCAAATACTTTTCAAAATTAGATCTTAAGAGTGCTTATCATCAACTCGAATTACATGAGAGCAGTAGGGAATAACCACTTTCATTACTCATAAAGGTTTGTTTAGGTATAAGAGATTGATGTTTGGTGTAAATTCTGCACCCGAAATTTTTCAACGCACATTAGAAGGACTTTTAGCACCTTGCAGCAATTGTCTTAATTACATAGATGACGTTATTATATTTGGCAGTACGAAAGAGGAACATGATAAGGCAGTTAAAGAAGTAATCGATGTGTTTAAAGAAAACAACCTTGTACTGAATGATGAAAAATGTGTATGGAATACACAAAAGTTAAAGTTTTTAGGACATATTCTATCTGATAAAGGTTTCATAGCAGATCCGGAAAAAATTAAAGTAATTACCGAATTCCGAGCCAATACCAAAGAAGAGACTAGAAGTTTCTTAGGATTAATAACGTACGTTGGAAAATTTATTCCTGATTTGGCACATGTCACTGAACCATTGAGAATTTTATTAAAAGCTGATTTAAAATTTGTATGGGGTCCTGAACAAGAGAATGCCTTCCAACATCTGAAAACACTATTATCTCAAATTCCAAATTTATCATACTTTGATCCAAAAAGAAGAACTCGTGTAGTTGCAGATGCTAGCCCTGTAGCATTGGGTGCAGTTTTGATCCAATTTGATTCTGAAGGCGACCCAAAAATTATATCTTTTGCTAGCAAGAGTTTATCCGACGTCGAGAAGAGATATTCCCAGACTGAAAAAGAAAGTTTAGCTTTAGTATGATCGGTTGAGAAATTCTATTACTACTTGGCAGGTCTGGAATTTGAATTGGTTACAGACCATAAACCACTAGAATAAATTTTTAACCCAACATCTAAGCCTCCAGCTCGAATAGAACGGTGGTTATTGCGTTTACAATCATTTAAATTCAAAGTGATTTATCGGTCAGGCAAGGAAAATATAGCCGATTCAGTTTCGAGACTTTGCAAAATATCTAACACAAACTCATTTGATGGAAATTGTGAAAATAACATATTTCAAATTGTGACAAATTCTATACCGATACCTATTACAATTACCCTTATAGCAAAAAGAAGTGCGGAAGATGAAGAAATCTGCAATAATATAAAACTGATTAAAGATGAGTTCTGGGATATCAACAAATAAAGTCTATATTATCCATGCCGGTTTGAGCTGTCGGCGATTGGCAGTATTCTTCTGCGAGGTACTCGCATTGTAATACCTAAGTCACTGCGCAATAAGGTACTTGAATTGGCTTATGAAGGACATCCAGGAGTGTCAGCAATGAAACGCAGACTGAGAGCTAAAGTTTGGTGGCCGCTAATAGACAAAGAGGCCGAGAGTTTTGTTAAGAGTTGTCGTGATTGTTTACTAGTGTCACAAGTAACAAATCCAGTACCAATGCATAGGCATGCCTTTCCAAATGGTCGATAGGGCCATTGCCCAATAATGAATACGTTATGGTATTAATAGACTACTATTCGCGGTATCAGGAGGTCGTGTTTTTAACAAATATATCATCCGAAAGAAACATAAAAGCCATGGAAGAGATATTTTGCAGTCTAGGTTTTCCCAAATCATTGAGAACTGATAATGGCCGTCAGTATGTCAGTTTAGAATTTGAAAATTTTTGCAAGATGAACACAATATTATGCATATTAAGACGCCACCTTATTGGCCGCAAGCTAATGGAGAGGTTGAAAATATGAATAAGTCATTACCCAGCAAAAAATAATTGATGTCATACTTTGCAAACGACATCTTAATCACATCTAAAAATGCGATAACATATTTTTCGCTTTTATAAACAAAATATTTAATTACAAATGAAACCCACTTAAAAGTGAGTAATGAGATGTAGAAAAGTCACTACAAATAACATATTCGTGGAAGACTAATGAAATTTGCATAAGCGTGTCATTGAAATAATGTGGTTTATTTTTGACATCCAAATATAGGATTTTTACTGCTTCTAATAATACGATTAGATGTAGTTCAAAGTTGTCAAAAATGAACAACATCCCTCCAGCCGAATTTTAAGTACTTCGGGTTACTAATTGTGATGAAAATACTGCACCTTTTTCCACACTTTTTTGCTGGGTAGTCAAACGTTTAAAAATTGCAAGTGCAAATAAAAAGAATTATAAGCAGGAAGTCTATAAGTTTATTCTAATGTATAATGTAACACCTCATGGCACAACCGGAGTTCCTATATCTGAACTTATGTTTAATAGAGTTATAAGAGCCAAAATACCAAGTATTCATGACATAACAGAAGATATGATTGAATCATCGGCAAGAGATTTAGATTGTATTAAGAAACAACAAGGGAAGGAAAGAGGAGATAGAACACGAAAAGCAAAAGAATCAAATATAACTGTTGGAGATAAAGTGCTGCTCAAAAATGTTTTATTTCCACACAAGCTTACCACAAACTTTGATGTGACAGAAAATGAAGTTGTAGAAAGAAATGGGAATGAAGTGGAAATAGTTGGTAAGGGAAAAAGGTTCCGAAGATGCATTAGCCATGTGAAAAAAATTCCATCATCCACTATTTCTGACAATACATCTTCACAAGATGTGGTTTTGTCAAATGTATCGCCATCAACAGTAATCAATACATCAATACCAATTAATACCCTAGAACCGACACTAACTGATGATTCTTCAGAAGGATTAACACAACAAGGAGATCCTATGATGAAATTAAAGCTAAAAAAAATAGGAGGGATGTGGCAACTCTATTTTAAAATACTATGTTAAACAAAGAATAATAAGAAGTTGGACTATGACATTGTTTTACAACAATAACATTTCCTTCTCTTCACAGACGAGTTCTGTCCCAGCAAAAAATAATTGATGTCATACTTTACAAACCACATCTTAATCACATCTTAAAATGCGATTTCATATTTTTTACTTTTATAAACCAAATATTTCCTTACAAATGAAACCCCAGTTAAAAGTGAGGAAAGAGATGTGGAAAAGTCATTACAAATAACATATTTGAAGTACATCAAGATTTGGTGAAAGAGTAGTGAAATTTACATAAGCGTGTCATTAAGAGAATGTGTTTTATTTTTGACATCCAAATATCGGATTTTTACTGCTTCTAAAAATAAGATCAGATGTAGTTCAAAGCTGCCAAAAATGAACAACATCCCTCCAATGACACGCTAATGTAAAATTCATAGGTTTTACACCCGAATTTGAAGCACTTCGGGTTACTAGTTGTGATGAAAATTCTACATCTTTTACCACACTTTTTTTGCTGGGGTGTAAATTCAACACACTTGTGAGAACTCAATTCTCTCACAATACTTCAAAACTTTTTCGCGAAAATACCGGGATAATAGGACTTGAACGACGTTTTTTCACAAACACATAACTATTTTTTAATTTTTTACACAATTTTATCGCATTTAACAATCCGAAATATTTTTATTTTGTTTACTGATTAGATGTGGGCAAAATAAATTAAAAAATCTGCGAATGTAGAAATTTAAATGTTATTTATTTTTCCTAAAATTTTTATGTACGATTTTATGCAAGTATGTATGTTTGGAAAGTGTGGTGAAAGTGGTTGGAGCTCCAATACAATACAAAAATTCTACCAATACATACTAAGAGTTAGGTACCGAATGACAACTCCTTTACGTACCAACTGACAAGCCCCAATTTCTTTATATTCTTTGATGTTAAACATGAATTTAAAAGAATATGAATAAAAAGACTGCATCGAAAATATTGTCATTCATATACATTTTAGAATTAAAAAATAATAATTTAATAAAATATTATTAAAACTGAAAATTATAATTCGTCGTTATTTTATCAAGTTATTACGAAAATCGGCCACCTGATCTTGACTTTTAAAGTCAATAGCCTTTGTATAAAGAGCGTGGCATATAGAATCTGAAATGCAAAAAAATGATATATCAAGTTGATGTTGCCCGGCAAAAAAAGTGTGGAAAAAGATGTAGAATTTTCATCACAACTAGTAACCCGAAGTGCTTCAAATTCGGGTGTAAAACCTATGAATTTTACATTAGCGTGTCATTGGAGGGATGTTGTTCATTTTTGACAACTTTGAACTACATCTGATCTTATTTTTAGAAGCAGTAAAAATCCGATATTTGGATTTCAAAAATAAAACACATTCTCTTAATGACACGCTTATGTAAATTTCACTACTCTTTCACCAAATATTGATGTACTTCAAATATGTTATTTGTAATGACTTTTCCACATCTCTTTCCTCACTTTTAACTGGGGTTTCATTTGTAAGGAAATATTTGGTTTATAAAAGTGAAAAATATGTAATCGCATTTTAAGATGTGATTAAAATGTAGTTTGTAAAGTATGACATCAATTATTTTTTGCTGGGCGTTGTCTAAGAAATTGTTGGGAATTTTCTATAAAATACTTACCCTGTCACTCGTTTTAATAAAAGGTCGGCAAGAATAAACAACAGTATAATTTTGGCAAAGGCTCAGTTTATTCTCTAAAATTAAGTAATTATTATTTATAAAGTATCTTAAGATTAAACAAAACTTACTCGGTCGATCTCTTGTAGGCAATATAAAACGAGGACAAGTTGACTTTAACAATTACGTGACAAAACAGACTTTAGAAATGGTTGCTTTGTAACAAGTTACTTATTTAAAAAATGGACAATTCCAATGTATTTAACTTAGCTTTACATAAATTATTGACTTTAATATACAAGAAACCGTAAGTTTTTTCCCCTCTTTAATAAACATAGATACTAGCAACATTTCGAACAAACAAAGATGCCACCTAATAATAAACAATATATCAAACAGGATTGCCCTCAACGACATCCCCGCCCCCGTGAATCGACTTCATGGGCTGAGATTCACTACATCCATCCGCTACATCTAGTACAGCTAACTTGTTGATCGGTCTACTTAAAACTCCTGTTGATGTACGTATATCTGCGGAACGGGCAACTCCATCTTTACCAAATATTAATCTTAAAACTCTTCCTCTCTTCCACTTTGAGCGGGGTTCATTCACATCGCAAATTAACACAAGGCTTCCAGAACATAATGGACTGGATGGGGCAAACCATTTAGAACGGCGTGTAAGTTCTGGGAGATACTCTTTTATCCAACGCTTCCATACTCCATTCTTTAGATTTTGCAGTATACGCCACTGTTTTCTTGATGCGCAAATACGATGTTCATATTCTGCGGGAGTTTGGGTTGAACTGGTACATCCAAGTATAAAATGATTTGGTGTTAATGGCTCGGGCTCGTTAGGTGTTATCGGAATATGAGTAAGTGGCCTTGAATTCACCATATTTTCGGTCTCTACCAACAGACTGTATAGAGTTTCTAAGCGTGGGGCATGTTCTTTTAACATTGCGTATAAAGCTCTTTTTACTGATTGAACCAATCTCTCCCATGCTCCACCAGCAGATGGGTCAGATGGTGTATTAAATTTCCATTTTATGCCAAGAGGAGCAAGGCCAGCAGTAATGACTTCATTATCCCAAAAATTCCTCTCACCATGTAATTCTTTCTGGAGGCCTACAAAATTTGTTCCATTATCACTCCTTATTTGTATTGGCACTCCTCTGCGATTAGCGAAATTTCGTATACACATTAAACAAGCATCACTAGAGAGATTTGTAGCGATTTCCAGATGCACTGCTCTGACCGTAAGGCAAGTGAATAGCGCAATCCATCTTTTTTCTCTTTGACGTCTTATAGTAACCTCAACCGGCCCAAAATAGTCAAGACCCGTATATGAAAAGGGCCTCAAGAACGGTGTGACACGGTCAATTGGTAATGGCCCCATTATTGGTTGACTAGGCTTTGATTTACGAATTTTACATATACAGCATTTTGTTTGAACTTTATTTATTACACTTCTGATTGATGGAATCCAAAATTTATGCCTTATTTCGCATATTACCGTGTTGACATTAATATGGTTGAATCTATGATGATACCACGAAACCAACAATTCTGTGAACCGGTGTTTTCTTGGCAATATACACGGTCTTTTTGTACCCATGGCAACAAATGGTGCATTATCGATACGTCCATACACACGAAGCAACCCAAAATCATCCAAATATGGGCACAACGTTTTTAAATCACTTCGAGCCTCAATAGGTTTGTTCATTTGGAGGCATTTATATTCAGAACGAAATGTTGATTGCTGTACCATACGACACAAAATCTTTTCAGCGTGATCTTCTTCTTCAACTGATAATTCGCCTTTGATTCTACCGTTATTTTCAGATATTTTTGAATTATTAATAAATCTCATTATCCAAGCCATGGCTCTTTTCAATCTACGAAAATTAGAATATCGATTAAAATCAAATAAAGGTGAACATACCACAGATGTTAAGACATATTTATTTCGAAGTTCTAACTCAGGTTCTAAATGGTAAGAAGTATCATTCATTGAAGGCCACAAATTTTCTGGAAGATACAAAAATTCTGGTCCATTTTTCCACCGACTATCAAATTCAAATTTTGGTTTTGACCGCGTTGCATCATCGGCAGGATTTTCAGTTCCCGGTAACCACCGCCAATTATCCACTGTCGTAGCTTCTAAAATTTCACCAACTCGATTCGCTACGTACTGTTTATATTTTCGTGAATCAGATTTTATCCATCTCATTACTGTATGAGAATCTGTCCAGAACTGCACACGATCAGGTTTAACACAATAATGATTAATTATTTGGTTTTGAAGTCGAACAGCTATAACAGCGGCTTGAAGCTCCAGTTTTGGTATTGAGTGATATCTTGTCGGTGCACAATTAGTTTTACCACAAACAAATGAAATTTTATAACCAGTATTTGTTTTTATTCGCCAGTAACCGACAACCGCCATGGCCTGTTCGCTAGCATCACTAAACAAATGTAACTCATTAACAGTATTACAAAAATTATAAAAATGGCAACGAGATATTTTATAGTCCTTTACCTTCTTTATTTCACACAGCCAAGCAACCCACCTACCATTCAAACAATCCGGTATTTCATCGTCCCAGTTTAAATCGTATTTCCATAGTGTTTGCATCAGAATTTTTCCCGCTACTGTAATATTTGCCAAAAAACCATACGGATCAAAAATAGACATAATTACACTTAACATTTCTCTTTTCGTTGGTTTGCGACGTAATTCAATAATATCTTCAGTTATTCGATGAAATTTTAAAATAAAAACAAATTCATCAGTAATTGGATTCCAATGCAAACCTAATATTCTTTCGACTCCATCCGTTGACACATCTACTGAACGTACATTAGAGCCATGAAATGCGTCAATAACATTCTGGGAATTTGAAACTATTTTGCATAAATCAAAACCAGCTTTTTTATGAATCTTTCTCACCTCTGTTACAACCTTGATTGCTTCCGAATCTGACTGGAAACAATCCACGTAATCATCTACATAATGACGATAAATTATAGCATCCTCGGCTCTTGGGCTTACTTCCGAAAATGTCTGGGCATTTTTGTTTTTAATAAATTGAGCTATAGTAGGAGAGCAAGCGGCGCCAAATATCATTCTTGTCATAACACAATGTTGTATGGAATCATTACAATCTAAACCTCTCCACAAGAATCTTTGAGAATTTATGTCATCATTCTTTATGGCTACTTGCAAAAACATTTCACGAATATCTCCGCAAACCGCTACCGGTGCTTCTCTAAATTTAAACAATACTGAAATAAGTGAATTGTTTAAATCAGGGCCAGAAAGAAGTGCATCATTTAAAGAAATTCCATGGACTTTGGATGCAGCATCAAAAACGACGCGAATATCATCTTTGTTTGGGTTTTTAACGGCAAAATGAGGCAAATAAAAGGTTTTTGGTGTAATTGCTTGCTCTGATTGGCTTAACCGTCTGGCATATCCCTTTTTAAACAGATCTTCAATTTTGTCACAGTATTTCTTAGCATATACATCATCCCTTTTAAATTTGTTTTCTGTTAATTCTAATCTTTTTCGTGCCATTTCATAAGTTGGTGGAAACGAGATATCGTTAGTTTTCCACAATAAGCCACATTCATAACGATCACCAATGAACTTTGTTGTTGTGTTCATTATATCTAATGCTCTTTCATGTTCACTTGACAAAATTGTTTTAATATTACTTTTCACACCACAAGATTCAACCTCAAAGTAATTATACATCATATCTTTTATTTCTTCATCGGCCGTTTTATTTTTTACTGCATTTGTACAAAATACTTGCTTGGCCTTTGAATCACAATTTTTCACGGGACCATAAATAATTAATCCCAATTTACATTTTATAACAATCGGACCAAAATACGATGGATTTTCTATAACTTCATTGGGAACTGTTAAAAATGCGTGAGCAATACTTATTATCATTTTTGGTCTTATTGAAATGTATTCGTTAATTGGTATATTTGTCAAATGGGGATAATTAACAGTCAGCTGATTTTTAACAATCGATTGGGTTGGCAATTCTAGATTTTTTGACAAGTAAATTCTTTTCATTTCATATTTATTTTTATTATCGTCAATAGCGCTTACATAAACATCAACAATTTCTGTGGATTCACTAGACGAGCGACCATTTAACCATTGCAGCTTTAGCGTATCTGTTGTGCCGTGTAGGTCTAGCTGACGAGCAATATCCCAATCTAGAATTGTTGCATTAGCCCCATCATCTATAAAGGCGTAAATAGACACTTCTTTTCCATTATTGTAAAGCTTTATTGGGATTATCTGGAACAAAACATTATCAAGTTGGCAGTCTACATGACAATTAACGGCGGATGAAATAGTTGATGAACTTGTGGGCATTTCTCGGCTAATATTATGTAGGAGATTATGATGTTTTTGAGGACAATTATTTATACCACACACATGTTTGGCGTAACAGGATTTTAATTGATGATTCGGTTTTAAGCAACAAAAACACAAGTGTAATTCTTTTACAATTTTCCAGCGATCATCTACTTCCATGCTCAAAAACTTTTCACAATTACATATGTCCGCACATTCACCATCACAAATAAAACACGGTTTGTGGGCCATGCAAAGCATTGCATATTTGTTTGTTTTTTGTGATGCAGGTTGTTGATTATATGATTTGCGGTTGGAGCTATCTTGCAATGAAGTTGGAAGCGAATCAGATACCATGTTAGCAAGTTTTCTCATACAGTTCAGCCAGTTACTAAAATCAATAATATTGGCTGTCTTATTTAAACTTAAACATTTTTCTGCCCATTGCATTTGTTTAGTTGTTGACAATTTTGAAACTAATTCGCTCAACAGCGATGGATTATATAAATGGTGTTCTCCTTCTACTGACTTCAGAAATGTGGCCATGTTGTTAACTTTATTGGCAAAACCTATAAGTTGGTCCAATTTACCATCGGGAACGTTCGGATATAACCTCACTTTTTGAATCTGGCTTTTTATTAGCATTTCAGGACGTCCAAATGTTTCTTTTAATGTTTCAATTATGGCACTCACGTTTTTTGAACTGGAAAGAAGGCATTCCACGGTTTCTCGTGCGGGTCCCGTAAGAGCTTCACGAATTCTAATGATGTTCTGAAGATCAGTATATTCAAATTCTTGAGTAGTGGCAATAAAATCTTCGTAAAACATTTGCCAGTCTTCAGGCTGGCCTTCAAATTTAGGAAGGGGATATATTTTCTTTGATTTGGTAGGTTGGCAGTTTTGACTATGAAAAGATAAATTAGAATAGGACTCACCCGTTTCTTGACCATTATTTCGAGGAGTATTATCAGATACTGGTGTTGTTGTCGGTGGTATTGCTTTGGCAATGGTTTGAATTTCTTGTCTTAATTCTCCAACTGTAGCTTTCGTCTGATTATTGTTGGCGATAATTAGACTTTGAAGAGACGTCATTTGGCGCTGAAACTCTCTCTGTATTTCAGCGATTTGCTTTGAAGCATCTGGTGGTTTCTTACACGAACCTGTTTGGACGTTAGATGGAGTAGTATTTTTTGGTGTCTGCGAATTGTTTACTTCATTTTGTAAGACTTCATGTGGCTGTCTTAAAGCATCTGGTTGTCTAGGTGTACCCGTTTGAATATTTGGTGCGGCTGCACTCCTTGGAGTATGCAAATTGTTGGCTTCATTCTGCGATTCCATTATATAACGGGCTGGCGGCACTCCTTTGGTATCTCTATTACTTCTTCTAAATGGGGCAGGATCCGACATAAGGCAAATGGCAAATTAATTGTTTCATAAGGCTGACGAAGAATAAAGTTGTCACTCGTTTTAATAAAAGGTCGGCAAGAATAAACAACAGTATAATTTTGGCAAAGGCTCAGTTTATTCTCTAAAATTAAGTAATTATTATTTATAAAGTATCTTAAGATTAAACAAAACTTACTCGGTCGATCTCTTGTAGGCAATATAAAACGAGGACAAGTTGACTTTAACAATTACGTGACAAAACAGACTTTAGAAATGGTTGCTTTGTAACAAGTTACTTATTTAAAAAATGGACAATTCCAATGTATTTAATTTAGCTTTACATAAATTATTGACTTTAATATACAAGAAACCGTAAGTTTTTTCCCCTCTTTAATAAACATAGATACTAGCAACATTTCGAACAAACAAAGATGCCACCTAATAATAAACAATATATCAAACAGGATTGCCCTCAACGACATACCCATATATTCATATCGAATATGATCCTTTGCTGTATTTGAAAATATGAACAATTTGAACTTTAATATAGTCGTCAATCTTACTGTGAACACGTTCTGCTGGCCGTAAAGATGGCGTCAAATTTGAGCTACTATATTTACGAGATCTTTCATCTAAAACTTTATCTTCAATTTCTTTATCTATATATTTTCCTTCGTACGTTGGTAATTGAAATGAAATGGAAGTCCCCGTTTTGTTTGAGATTGTCTCGTCTCTTATACCATACGGTTTTCTTCATTATTTTATAGATATCATTAATTAGGTATAATGTTAATTGGTAAATTCGATTCCAATCTCGTTAAAGTCGTTATTTCTTTGCCCCTAAGTAATACTAAATTAGTAATATAGAATTTTATACCTACTACTATCAAATAATATTTATGTATGTATGTATATAAGAAAATTATGTATATTCTCGTTCCTTATAAGATTCTTGCAAAATCGTTTCACATTTGACCCAAAGCCCCGTTTATTTTCAAAAATCGTTTAAAATCGTATTATTAAAATAAAATTCCACAAGACATAAGTAAGACATAATAAAATGAATGATTAAATATTAAAGTCTATATACATATGGGCAGAGCCACCTTCCGCAATTCTTTTTAAATTTAGGCACATGTCGGCATAGCCGACTAAATATAACACCCTTACTTGTTTTTGGCTGCTTTCGTAAATGATAAACTGGTCTTAGTTCAATTTCAATAATTGGATTATTTCCTAAAATCTCATTGTGTTCCATTATCACGGATTGACTAAGGTTGCAAATAAATAAAATAATTTTGTAATTCTCTCAATGCTTACTCATTATTACACTTGGAAATATCGTTATATATATGGTTAAATCCAGAATTTGCTTTAATTTTGCTTTAATTCACGCGTAGCAGACTTGCTCTCAACTATGTCAAATTTTTTCTCGTGAAAGTTTTTCAAGAAGACACGCCAAAATTTCGCGGTTTTTTAACGTTTTTTTTTAAACATTTTCAAAAATACATTTGTTGTATAGTTATTATGATTATACTTGAATTTACTAAACAATGTTTTACAGTGTATATTAAACATCTATAATGGCTATACGAATCACCCTGTTATATATTATAGCATATTGCACTTGTTATAAATTATATTAAAAGAATTCAATTCTATTAAACCTCTTAAACGTGAAAGACGTGTTTTAATAAATTCAAATATAAATTATAAAACATGGTGTCAGAAGTGGTTTCTGATATTTAATTATCAATTTAAAATATTTAAATAGAAGAATAAAGATTTGGAAAAATGTCCCAAGAAGATAAAAAACAAACAACTAATCAATTGTTTGCTGCAACATTGCAACCAATGAATTTAAAAGCACCTAACTTGGCCAAAGAATGGAAAATGTGGCACACACAATTCAAAATCTTTTTGAGGGCGTCTGACCTGGAGTCACAAACTGATAAAAGAAAGGTTGCGTTAATGTTACATTATTTGGGCAGTAAATCATTAGAAATTTTTAACTCTTTCGATTTTGATATCGACACTGTTAAATACGAAGACTTGGTAAACAAAATGGCGGCATTTTTTATTCCTCGAATAAATATTGTAATGGAGAGGCACAAATTTTTTACGTATAAACAACAAGAAGAGCAAACTGTGGATGAATTTGTAACTATTCTAAAAAATCATAGCTTAAACTGTGAGTTTAAAGATTTACGAGAAGCATTAATTCGTGACATTTTCATATGTGGATTGGCGCCGAAATTGTCTAATGTCCGTGAAAGACTTCTAACCGAAGGTGATATTTCTCTAGAAAGAGCAGTCTCTATTGCAAACACCATGGTCATGGCTAAAGAAAATGCTTCGATACTGCAACAAGATGCAAATGCAGAAGGTATTATAAATGTCGTCACGAGAAAAAACTTCAAAATGCAGTACCCACAACAGAAATATAATATTGGTAACAACAGAGCTAATAATAATTATAATGGCAGTAACAACAACTATAGCAGCAAAAATTTTAAAAATTGTATGAAGTGTGGACAAACTCACAACGTAAAATGCCCAGCAGAAGGGGCTAGGTGTTATGAATGCGGTAAGATGAACCATTTTGCTAAAATGTGTTTTCAAAGAAAGAAAGTGGTCAAGCAAATGACTACCGATGGCGACGAGGATGGCGAGAGAGGGGACGAAGAAGAGGAAGAAGATCTTTTTGTTGGGGCCGTTACCAAAGAAGACAAAGTTATAAAAGAATGGAGTGTTGAGGTAAAAATAAATGAACAAAAAATTGTTTGCCAAATAGATACAGGAGCACAGGCGAATATATTATCAACAGAGACAGCAGATTTTTTAAATATTAGAAATTCATTGAAACCTTCCAGAATTAGAATTTGTACATTCAGCGGAGAAAAGGTTCCGGTATTAGGGATTGCTGATTTGGAAGTTAACTACAAGAACCAATTCTTCTTAGTTAAGTTTTTTATTGTTAATATACAATGTAAGAATATTATAGGTATTGAAACTGCTGTATATATGAATTTAATTAGGCAAGTTAATAATATTTCAATAAATGGAGTAATGGAGAAGTATTCGGATGTGTTTAGTGGGCTAGGGTGTTTGCAGAATGGGTGTGATTTTATGCTTAGGGATGACATTGTGCCGGTTGTGGAGGCACCTCGTAGGATACCATTTAAATTGCTTGATAGTTTGAAAAAGGAATTAGACAGGATGGTGAGTTTAAAGGTTATTGTTCCTGAGCATGAACCGACTGAGTGGGTCAATTCAGTGGTTCTTGTCACAAAGCCAAATGGCAATTTAAGAATTTGTTTAGATCCCAGGAATTTAAATAAAGCAATTCTAAGACCACACTATCCATTTCCAAATATTGAGGAATGCAAGGCAAAGCTAAATGGCTCTTTGTACTTTTCAACATTAGATGCTAATAGTGGATTTTGGATGGTTCCATTGGGTGAAAAATCCTCCAAACTTTGTACGTTTAATACACCATTTGGTCGTTTTCGATATTTAAGACTACCTTTCGGCATTAATGCGGCTCCGGAAATTTTCCACGCGGAAATGGTCAAACTCTTCGGAGATATTCCAGGAATTATTATTTATATTGATGATTTTCTGATTTTTTCATCTAGTATGGAAGAGCACATGAGGATTTTAGAGCAAGTGCTTCATAGGGCAAGGATAGTAGGTCTGAAGTTTAATAAGGCCAAGTGCAATTTTTTCAGAACGGAGATAAAATTTTTGGGACATATTTTTGATAGATCAGGGGTAAGCGCTGATGAGGACAAGATAGAGGCCATTATTAGAATGCCGAGACCAGGAAACGTAAAGGATTTACAGAGATTTTTAGGGATGATAAACTACTTGGGTTCATTTATAGAAAATTTGTCTCTGAAAAATAGAAATCTAAGGGAACTATTAAAGAATGATGTCAAATGGCATTGGACTAGGGTACATGATGCAGAGTTTGATAATTTAAAGAAGGAAATTACAACGGCACCAGTCCTAACTTATTTCGATCAGACGAAGCAAATAATATTGTCCGCGGATGCTTCGAATTTTGCATTGGGTGCAGCAATAATGCATGGGAAAAATCCCATTGCTTACGCATCTGTTTCCTTGACAGAGACTCAAAAAAGTTATGCACAAATAGAAAAGGAACTATTAGCCATTCTTTTCGGCTGTACAAAGTTCCACCAATATGTTTATGGTTCTAGGGTTGTTGTGGAGACTGATCACAAACCGTTAGTTGCGCTGTTTGATAGGCCTCTACATAAGATTCCTCCAAGACTGCAGCGATTTATGTTACGTTTACAGTGTTACGATATCTCTATAGTCTATAAGCCAGGACGGGATTTAAAGATAGCGGACACACTTTCTAGAGCACCGTTGGGTCATACGACATTGTCTGAAGTGGATAAGGAGATAACTTTGCATTGTAATTTTGTTTCATCTAATTTGGATATTCCATTTGCAGAAATTGATATGGTAAGAGAACATAGTGCTAGGGACGAGATTTTTTTAAAGATTATGTCTTATTTAAAGAATGGGTGGCCAAGGAATCGAAGGGATGTTGAGCAAGATGTAGCACCTTATTATAGGATAAAGGACGAAATGAGTGTGTTGAAGGGTGTTTTAATGAAAAACCATCAAATAATGATTCCGAAGAGCCTTCGAAAGATAGTTTTAAATAGAATCCATGAAGGGCACATGGGTGTTCAAAGATGCCAAAATTTAGCAAGACAATCTGTTTACTGGCCGAATATATACAATGACATTGATAATGTTGTATCAAATTGTGAAGTTTGTTTGAGACACCAGAACTCCAACACTAGGCCAGAGCTGATGCCACATGAGGTTGTAAATATACCCTGGTATAAAGTTGGGTGTGATCTTTTTGAGCTTCGAGGGAAAACGTATCTTCTAGTAGTTGATTATTATTCAAAGTTTGTTGAAATTGAATTGCTAAATGCAGGTTACAGTGCTCCTCATGTAATATGTAAATTAAAATCAATATTTTCAAGGCATGGTATTCCATACATTTTCATGTCCGACAATGGACCACCTTTTAATTCTAAAGAATTTGAACATTTTTGCAAAGACTGGGGAATGGATCATGTTACTTCAAGTCCGTATTTGGCGAGATCAAATGGTCTGGCTGAAAGGACAGTTCAGACAGTGAAGAGATTTCTTATTAAATCTTTGGAAAGCAAATCTGATCCTTATATTGCATTATTACACTATCGGACAACACCTAAGGGTGATCTTCCAAGTCCTTCCGAATTATTAATGTCACGCTCATTACGTACCCGAGTACCTGTCATGATGGATAACCTTAAACCAAAGTTAGTTGATATTGAGAAGTACAAAGAACGTGTTAAATCGAAATTGGTCAAATGTTCTGAATATTATAATAGGAAATCGAAAAAATATGAATTGGTTAATGAGGGGGATAAGATCTTATTTAAAAAGACGCCTACCGGCATTTGGTTGAATGGTGAAGTAGTGGAAGTGTGCAGGGAACCTAGATCGTACGTGGTTTTGGATGGAAATGGTTCGTTTTTTAGAAGAAGTTTGGAACATATTAGGAAATCGCCTGGGGATAATTCACTTATTAATAATGGTGATTGTGACCATGGGGCTGATTGTCAAAAAGAGGATAATGAAAATGGGGAGGAGGTAGTAAAAGGGAACTTAGGCACTGATTCTCAAGAAGGACTGTATGTGACACAGAAAGGTCGAATTATTAGGAAACCAAGGAAACTTGATTTGTAATGTATCAAACTTGCTTGAATTATTATAATTTTGAAATTTGTTATTTTGTAAAATTGTATTATTAAGATTTTTTGTATTTTATATTATTTGTAAAGGGAGATGTTGTATAGTTATTATGATTATACTTGAATTTACTAAACAATGTTTTACAGTGTATATTAAACATCTATAATGGCTATACGAATCACCCTGTTATATATTATAGCATATTGCACTTGTTATAAATTATATTAAAAGAATTCAATTCTATTAAACCTCTTAAACGTGAAAGACGTGTTTTAATAAATTCAAATATAAATTATAAAACAACATTTCTCAATATTATTAAACAAAAGTGTAGGGAATCGATAATACTTAACTAGGACTACAAATCTCATTCGTTAGAGGCTCCTCTAAAAGGATACCTTTATTTAAGTTATTATTAATAACGTCATATTTCATTTTATGTATAACAGATTATGTTATAACATTTGAAGATAGAATTTTTATAGAAATATATTGTAATTATGAACTAATTGTTCACAATATTAAAAAAAATAATTAAATAATCTTAAAGGGTTTAGAAGGTAATGAGATTCAAAGAGTAAATTCCTAATAAAATTAATAATTTTATACATATGAAATGCTAAGCATTTTTTATGGAAACATGAATTTTATATAGAAACTGCTGCAGCTCGAGCTTAAAAATTTAGTCAAATATATGTATACAAGATCGCAGCTAAATTATAGCAAAAATATCTATTATTGAAGTTAGAAGTAATGATCAAAATTAAAGAAGATCTGTGATGAGAACTTATATTATTTGATCAAAAGATCAGTGATCAAAGCTAAAATTTGTTGAGAAAAAGATTGCTGATCGAAATAAAGAATGGTTGAGAACAACTATTAGCGATCGCAGATTAAAAATCCATTATTGAAGTTAGAATTAATGAAAAATATCAGTGATCGAAATTAAAGAAGATCTGTGATGGGAATTTATATTATTTGATATTACTTGTGGTATAATGTTAACGGGGCTTAATTTAAAAAGTACAATTATTTGCATGATGCAACTTTATTTGGTTAAAATTTCTGAAATATATTTCAACTCAGTTTATATTAAAATTAATATTGGAACATTTATAAACCTTTGGAAGATACAAATGGCATTATATTGTAACATTTTAATACTTACTGTATCATTTTTTGAAAAACTAAAAAAAATTGCATTTATGTACATAAAAACCGCGTTGCGAGGCCACTTTCCTTTAAAATAATTGAATATTTTACAATTTTCCAGTTGATTGATGAAGTTAAATAAAGTCCTTATTAACTGATCCGAGAAAATAAGGTATTTTTGATATCATACCATACAATGTACTACATATCGTCACCTGAAACGCAAATGGCCCTAACTAACCAAAAATTCAAAATCGATTTTATTGTTGATTATAATATATTGCATCAAAATAAATGTCCACACACTCCTCCGACCAAAACTACTTATTAACAAAAAACAAAAATCCCTATCTATAAAAAAATGTAAAAATTAAAGGTAAAAAGTCCAATTTATCCATTTTTATATACGCCATTGTCAACTATCATAATAACTGAACTGGAAATAAATCGCGTTGATAGAAACAAACTTTTCAATTTCAATAGTTTTTTGCTTCTCCTGTAAAATGTTAAAAATGCTGGATAAGGCCGTTTGCGTTTTAGGTGACGATATGTAGTACATTGATAAAATACATATGTACATGAAATATCACTTAAATAAAACAAACTAGTAATTATGAGGCATTTAAACAATAAAATCTATTTATTGTTTAGCATAACACTTTTTAAGTATATTTTAATCATTATCCTGCAAATAATTTGTAAATCGATCAAAAGGTATTATAAAAACAAACAAATAAATTATTCCAAAAACGAACTCTTCTTATTTTACAATAAATTCCTTAGGACTTAATTTTTAATATTATAATAAAGGTACGTTACGGTGGTCAACATGCTCAGTGGTGGTGCAACTTAAATTAAAATTTAATTGCTCATTGATTTAATAATTTTATAATAAAAAAGAAATACATTAAATGCATTAGTTGAACAAAAAAGGATAGGATAACAGTTCAAATATTGAATTGAATTCAACAAATGATTTTAGATTAGGACTAAACAGTAGTTTTTGAATGCCATGGAAGTTTGAAAGATTTAGCAATTGAGCAAAAGCAAATGCAATGCGAAAGTGACAAACAAGGAAAGACTTTTTGGTAACACAGATAGGTTAACGCACTTAAATGCTAATGATATATTTAGGTAGTTCTTTCTTCAATTCATTCTAACTTGTTTGTTAGTTATTACCCAATTTCAGATTATGTATTAAAATTTCAACTTCATTTTTGTAGTTTTAGGTACATTTCGTATTGTTAGAGATATACGAGTGCCCCGTTTCAAACAATCTCCCATTTTGTACGTGGTCTCACAGTTTTCATAGTTAAAAATGCGATCACATAGAACATCTTGCTCTAATTCACTAATCGAATGCAAATAGTTGTGATAAAGTGTATCCTTTAATATCAATAGACTGCGAGGTTCCAGTATCAATTTAAACAAAACCTCCCGCCTCAAAGATGTTCCTGTATCCTCTTTCATTTCTGTATCATCGGATGTCTCTCGTTTAGTGAATTCCAAAACTGTATGAGATCCACAAGATATTGTTGATATGGTGGGATAAAAGAGTGGGCCATCCGTGTGAGGCATTATACCTTGACCTGGTCGATATTCATTAACCAAAACATGGTTTGCCTTTTGTGTTTCAAAAATACTAAGATTATTGATTTTATCAACGTATGTCTGCAACCATTCGGGAATTTCTTCGGCAAGCATACCTTTGGGGTGTGGTATACCACCGTAATTGACTAGGCGGCGATTCAGGAGTTGAGTCCATTTAGGTTTTGGAGTTTTCTCGATATATGACAATATACGCTGCTCTTCCTCAGACGTTATAAAATTTGGGATGTACATAACAGTTGGAGGGCACTAAATGAAAAGGTAATTATTATTATCGCAATTAATATAAATATGAGGGTCTGCATACCTTCCGAACTAGAAAATCACTAAAATCCATTAGTACTAGTTAATTGCTAATAGTTGTATAAAGAATAGAAAGAAATCTGTGTTAAAATTATTTAAAATTTTTCAACTACAAAAACATATACACAACACAGTACAACAATATAAACAAATATGTTTTTATTCTTTCACTGCAATGGCCTTGAAGTAGAGACCTGCGCCGACAAATATTAATGGCAACGCCGGTTGACACTAAAAATCGGCTGTAAACCGGCTAAGTTTTTAGTTATTTTTCAAATTTTCACAATTTTAAATAATTAAAAGGGGAAACCGAGCGATTTTGAATGCAAATACATTCCCCGAAATATTTATAAAACCAAAATAATTTTTGTCGTAAGACAAACCACATTTTCTGACGTTTATTAGAAAAAGTCAAAGCAAAATGATGTTTTTGTTTAAAATTAGAATTATTTTTTAAGAAATAAATAGGAATGGTTAAAAATTTTTTCAGAATAAAATAAACAAAACAATATGTTTTCGCATTTAAAATTTTATTATTTTCATTTAATATCTAATAACACATGGCAGAAAATGCTCATTATAACAACCCTGTTTATGCAATTTTGCAAAAACTTTTAGCAAAATATTATGAACATATGGCAACGCTTCAACATGACAATAAGACAAAAATGAGAGGATCCCCAGCACAATAAAAGTAAAATAGAATCTATCTCAACCACAATATCGTCAACTACAAGATGATACTTTGCTCTCCATACAAAATGTATGAAAACTCATTGTCGACAGCGGTTGTGGTTCCAATTGTAGTCAAGCTGTAAACTTTATCGTCGTTCATTTAAAAAATAAGCGGGCAGGTGTCTGGTATTTTCTACAAATTCGACCCCTTTAGGGAATAAACGGGTAAAAACTGGGGTTTTTTAATTCACGACGTTTTTGATTCCCTGGAGTCAGGAAAAAATATTCACATTCCTGGGAACCCGGAATTTCCCTATAAAATAAAAAACATTTATTAAAAAACGTTTACGCGATGTTTTTTATATATATCTTTTTAACATATCAGTGCCCGTGTTCTGTAACTTTCGAGTTGAGAAAAAAACATTGAAATATTAGAGTTTTCCACTTTTTAGTTGCTTGATTCAAATAATTTTTAAACTAAACACATTACAATTAACCAAAATATATATGAATTACGTGTGTTCACCCTGTTTTAAACAAGACAATTATATATTTTTCGAATTTTTTTATCGACTCGAAAGTTATAGAACATAAGCACAGGTAATATAGAAATAAGAAAAGTCGACTTTTCGACTTTTTCATTTAGTTAAAGTCAACTTTTCGACTTTTGCATTTTATGAAAAGTCGATTTTCCGACCTTTTTCATTTAATTAAAAGTCAACTTTTTGACTTTAAGTATTTTATAAATGGTCGACTTTTCGACTTTTTCCGACTTTTCGATTTTTATGAGTTTTTTAATAATTTTTGACTTTTTTCTACAATTTTCGACTTTTTTTTTTGACAAAAAGTCGATTGTTCGATTATTCGAAAGTAGATTTATAGAAGCCTACTTAGAAACATGTACATAGAGCTTGTGCCAATTGATAGCAAAGTTCTATGGTGGATTGTGATTTTCCTATGGTGGGAACATTTTAACATTTTGCTGTGCCAAACGATATCTTTTTTGATTACATTAAATTTTTACAATTGTCACTAATTTCACAAGAAAATCTGCATTTATTTTAATAAATGAAACACTTTTATTGATTTTTTTATTATTAAAATAAATTTCTACAGTCACAAATGTATTTTAACTAAGATTATACAATATTTTATTTTTTGTATTTTCAAATTTTTCTTTTCATTTGTCAAAAATTTATATAGCCCTATGAGCTAGTAAAATTTTATTCACGTCATATCTATCAAAAATTTACATTTTCAAGTAAATTGTTACCGATTGGCACATACTCATAGATATAAAATCAGGGTTATCAATGGTTTTGAACATTAAACTAGTAAACATTCAAAAATATTTTTGACTTCTTAATAACTTATCGAAAAAATTAAAATATGAATTTCGCACTTTTTTCATAACCCAGTGTCTATATTAGACAAATATTTATTATGCTAAACGTCAAATTGTTATCATAATAAAAAATTAGCATGTACAGACGGCATTTATTAGCGTTATAACGCCGTTATGACAGTGTTGTCTAAACAATTGCTTAGACAACGTTGTCTTGATAACAAACGTTATTTTATTGTAAAATTTGTTTAGAATTTTGTTTTTGTGCAATTAGAATTGATTTTTAACATTAGTTTTAGCGAAATTAGTGTTTATTTACAAAATTTGCATTTAATTTTAATTGTTTTTATAAAATATAGCATTATTTCAATAAAATTATCTGTGAGTTGTCGTGATAAAATCAGCGTTTTGTTACCCCTATGTATTAACATAAACTAAAAACTGACGTTTTGTCAAGTGCCGTGATAAATATTTGTCTAATGTAGACATGGGGTAAAGCATTGTTTTTAGTTTATTAATTACTGTGTTTATTATTTACTGTGTTGCAACTTTTTGGAATAAAATTTTTATTACGTTCATGCGATGGGAAAAGTACCAAAAGGGGGTAAAAACGGAAAATTTGATTTTATTCAAACACATTTAAATAACATTTTAAGATATAGAAACACTAAATATTATAATAGGATGTTGTATGGAACCACGGTACCAAGTGATATTTTTTGGTACTTTTTTTATTCCCCAACTGTTTTTTTTTTTTTTTTTTTTTGAGTTTTCTATTATTTTAAAATTTTAATTTTATCGTTTTCTACTTAAAAATGCTTAAACAAATCTGTTTCTAAAAAATATATTATTGAAATGTTTTGGTTGATTAAGTTTACAACTAGTTTTGCCGAAATCAACTAGATTTTATTTGTTCATATATATCTTAACAAATTTAAGTTTTCTTCAAATATAACTAAATAATTTCATGTAATTTCAACACGCAATTTTCGAAGTTCGTTATAATAAAAGAGAAAATTGTGCGAAATTGTACTGATGGACTAAAAAAGTAGTTCGTTATATCCGAGGATTCGTTATAACCGAGGACTTTATAGAGATTTTTTTGTATGAAAATGGTTACCAAAATGTTGGGACTCGAAAAATAAATTTTTCAAGTTATAACGGGGTTTGACTGTAATAGTGTCGATTTTAAGCCGCAGCCGAATTGTTTAGTGTCAGTCGTCCTCGCCTCCGCCGTTGATGTTTGTCCGCTCAGGTCTCTCGGGCTTCAACCGCCAAATTCGCGAAAAATTTGTTTTTTTGCAAATTAGCTCTGACGCTATCATCAGTGTTTCATCATTCAAAAGGAAGTGTCCCGTTGTATGTAAGGAGATTGAGTGGTTTGTTTAAGGAAAGTGTTGTATAACAAGATATATATTATTTGTTTAGATGCAACCTGAAGAAAAATCTGACAACGAACAACCGGCAGCAAAGAAAATGAAGGTCGATGGAAAATGTGTAATGCGTTGGGCCAAGCTAACTGAGAAGGCTTTTGAACCCGTTCGTGGTTCTGAACATGCTGCTGGTTTCGATTTACGCAGTGCTTATGATCTAACTGTACCGGCCCGGGGTAAAGCAGTCGTAAAGACTGACTTGCAAATTGAAGTGCCCAATGGTTCATATGGAAGAGTGGCACCTCGCTCTGGTCTTGCAGTTAAAAACTTTATCGATGTTGGCGCTGGTGTTATAGACGCGGATTATCGTGGTAATCTGGGTGTAGTACTCTTCAATCACTCTGATCAAGATTTTGAAGTAAAACAAGGTGATCGTATTGCGCAGTTGATCTGCGAACGGATTTTCTACCCTGAACTGGAACAAGTCGATGCATTGGATGATACTAAAAGGGGAACATGTGGTTTTGGTTCAACTGGTGTTAAAGATTTACCAGCAGAGGCTAAAAATGAAGAAGCCAATGGAAAATAAATTTCATTTATGTATTTCACAATTCGAAGCAAGTTGTTGCTGCGAATTTGTATCTAGTGGTTAAGTTTTGTATTCATCGTTTTTTCAATATAAATAAAAACACGTAATCTATCCATATATATGTATATAAAAGAGTTGCGTTATTAATTTATCATCCCTCAGTCCCAAATAAAAATAAAGTTCATGGACCAATTTAACCCTTTCGTGCATTAATTTTTCGTCCTGTAAGCTTATTCTGCGACACAATTCTACTTTTAGCACAAATTAGCATTTTATAATTGCTTTATTTATGAACTCCCCAAAATGGTTTTACATCAAATTAAATACTTTTCCATATAACTTGGGATATTGCAAAAAATTTTTATTTAAATATATAGAGCCATGTAGGTATTTAATATGTCGAATTTTTTAGCAAAAATGTGGAAAATGCTTATAAGCAATTTTGGGAGTGAAAGAGTTTAAATCTAAATATCCACACAATTACCACGTCAGCAAGTTTTGGAAATATAGTAAAATTAAATTTTTTTTGACCAAAAGACATACGAGGAATTTCATGTCAAGTGACCCAACTCAAAAAATCGATTTTGACGAAATTCGCACCAAGGTTAGTACTATGGGATAATAGACCGGACTCAAATTTTCAGCTCTAACGGTCAAGAACTGCCGAAGTCAGAGGGGGTCAAAGTTGGATATTTTGGTCATACAGGGTTTTATTCAAATGAGTGTAACATTTCACCTATTGGTCCTAGCAAAAATTGTCCAAAGGAGTTCAGCTATTTCTTCATTATTAAAAAAAAAAACAATTTTTAATATTTTTTTTTTAAATGGGCCCTTTTTATTTTTTGCTTAAAAGAAATCTTATAGGTACAATTTCGTTAAAGGGCCATAATGGGATGCGAGTGGAATATACATCAAAAAAATATTTTTTAACTCAAGAATAATTTTTTTTCAATATTTCGCACTTAATTTCCCCCTATTTTTTCAAAATTGATGTTTTCGATGTGCATATTTTAAAAGAAAGCTTTTTGGAAAGAATGAAGAAAAGCTATCTGAACTCCCTTGGACTTTGATTACTCTGAAATAATGTAATTCAGTGCCTCTTTTCTGTAACTTTCGAATCGACAAAAAATACGAAAAATTTATAATCGTCTTGTTTAAAACAGGGTGAACTAGGGCTGCCAGGCTGGCTGGACTTGGCTGGATTGTCCAGCTTTTTTGATGTTTGTCCAGTTTCAAGCTAAAATTTAATTTGTCCAGCTAAAATAGATATTTTTAGTACTTGGGCAATAATTATACCCTACACCACTTTAGTGGGGAGGGTATATTGGGTTTGTGCTGATGTTTGTAACATACAAAAATACCCACCTTAAAGTATACCAATCGGCTTAGTATCGTTTTCTGAGTCGATTTAGCTATGTCCGTCCGTCCGTCTGGCCGCTGGCTGTCCATGTAAACCTTGTGCGCAAGGTACAGGTCGCAATTTTCAAGATAATTGGATGAAATTGGATAATTTTGATCCAAGGACGAAGCCTATTAAAAATGAATAAAATCGGTCCATTATTTCATCTAGCCCCCATTCAACAGAACCCCCCAAAAGGGCTTCTGAGCTCATAATTATGTTAAATATATATATCGTATAAAGCGGCACAACTAAATTATATATCGATAAAAAGCGGCACAACTAAATTATATAGCCTTGATGACCTTGCCAAATTTCATAAAGATCGGGCCTCATTTGACCCAGCTCCCATACATTCAGACAATTACTTGAATATCCAAAATTAACTTAGAAACACAAATAACGCGATGAAATTAAACACAAATAAATATTATATTAATATATTCACGAACTTTATCGGGCTTGGTCCATATTTGCCCCTAACTCCCATATAAAGCCTCTTTCAGAAAATTAGTTTTTCAACCATAAATTGCTTAAATGTATCGGAACAATGAATTATTATGAAAAATAAATCACATTTAATATTCGGTCACGCCCGACTATACTTTCTTACTTGTTATACCCTCCACCACCATCAGTGGTGATAGAGGGTATATATAAGTTTGTCATTCCGTGTGTAACACCAAGAAATATTCATCTGAGACCCAACAAAGTATATATATTCTGGGTCCTTATCAAATTCTGAGTCGATTTAGCTATGTCCGTCCGTCTGTCTGTCTGTGTAAAACACGCTCACGTTAAAACGAACCCATGGAAACAGTGTGACCAGGTCTCAAAAAATGTTGCGGCTAAATCCCATCCAAAATAATGCTAAATTGATTTTTAAATGCCAAAAAAATGCTAAAATTTTTTAGGTGTTTTTATGAACAATTCATATTAATTTGTAACTGAAATTCATTGTAATTTATAACAAGTAAGAAAGTATATTCTGCCGTGGTTGACCATATGAGTATAAAATTTGATTTATTTTTCGTAATAAAGCATTTATGTTGAATTGAACCTTGGTTCCGATATATTTAAACTAATTTTCTGAGAAAGGCTTTCTACATTTGTGTATGTAAAATAAAGGACAGACTTTAACCATTTTTAAAAGGTTTTGTCATTGGATCAAAAAGCATACGTGCTTATTGTTTTGAAAATTTCAACCTCTACCAGACGGTCAGACTTACATGGCTTAATCGATTCAGAAAATGATTCTTAACCGATTAGTATACTCAAACGTAGTATAGTGGAGTAGAGTAAAAAATTAAGTTCCGTGGTATTAAGATAAACAGAAATGCTAAAAATTATTTCAGAATTTTTGTAAATTTAGCAATATGTAATGTCTCTAACTTTAAAATATTTCTGAATGCAAAAATTACATCAAAACTCTATTAATTACACTAGTTGCTCATGGTATAGAACCTATAAGTGTTTTTGGAAGGAAAAGTATAATATTTCTAGTTTTACTTTTTTTATATAAACAATTTTATTTGTCTTCCTCAAAATACTTTAAAAATGGTTTTCATATCACAAAAATATTGAAAATTCCGTTGAAATAATTTTAAATCTCGGTGAATAGATGTCAGGTATATAACTAATACTTCCAAGATTTTTTCGGAAAAATATATATGAGAATGTATGAAATGAATTGAGAGATATATTAAAATCCGTAAGTTTGTAATTCTGGAATAAATTGTCAATAATATTTTCGAAACTTATGTATTTTTTTTAATTAAAAAAAAAAACGTGACAACAAAATTGATAAAAATTTGGTAAAAATAAAAAGAACAGAAAGTAGGATGAGAAAGTCTTAACTATATATTATTGATTTTTTTCAATACTTATTTTCAATAAATTAACAAGAACTCCTGAAGGATGACAAAAATTAAAACCTCTTTATTTCGTATAGGAAAAAATAAAATTTGTTAATTAACCGTCATACATAACCTTTTCCAAAATTATATGTTTCATTCCATGAGCAAACAAAAAGTATTAGTTTGTAAAATAGCGTACTGAACTTATTTGTAAAAATATATGAAATCTCTTGAATTATTTCTATCACCTCGAATTTAAAAAAGCATTGGGTTCCAGAAAAATATTTTAGAATACAACATTTTAAAGTATTCACTTGTATTGGCGTAATTTTAAGTTATTTATCTTCATGAATCTTTTTGCATTTTTTTGAACTACAGTGTAAATTATTACATTTCTCATATTTCTTGTTGCTTGTGTTTGGGTAGACATTTAATTCTGATTTTTTCCGGTTAAACCTATTTCCAATATAAATCTTTTTTGCAAAAATTTGTCTTTTTTTGTTTATATACTAAAATTGCAAAAAAAGCTAAAAATGCTAAAAATATTTTATAAAAATGCTAAATAAAATGCCAAATGCTAAATTAAAATTTTACAGCTAAATCAAAATAAAAAATGCTAAATCTAGCTGCAAAAATGCCAAAATGGTCACACTGCATGGAAATTAACGAAATTCAGCAAAAATATTCACTATTATCCGGTACAGTTTGGTATTGAAAATGAGCAAAATCGGTTCACATCGGAAAAAGTTATGAATCAAAATTTAAAACAACTCCGAAAAAAATAAGCATTTTTTATACATTCTGATGTAATTTTCTCGAAAACTATGCAAGATAATTCCATGAAAGTCATCATACATTCGTTTCTACACAAGATCTTGATTCCTGCTGAAAATTGCCAGAATCGGTCATAATTTCATATACCTCCCATACATATTCCCGAAAAATGAGTTTTTTGTTAATAACTTCCGGCAGAATACTGATATCTTCACAAAACTTTACAAGAGAAAAAATTTTCTGGATGTGTCCATAATTGGACATAGCTCCCATACAAGGACCCTCCCGAAAATCACTTAAACGCGCTTAACTCATTACTAAATTAAGATATCAATATAAAATTTGGAATAAGTATTGCTCATATGCACAGAAATATTACTGTGAAAGTTTTTTCTGATCGGTCCATCCTTGGTCATAGCTCCCATGCAAGGTTCCCTCCCGAAAATCACTTAAACGCACATAACTCATTACAGAATATTGATATCCATACATTTAGCACTAATATTGCACTATAAAATTGTTTTACGATCGGTCCATATTTGGTCATAGCTCTCATATTAGGTCTCCTCCAGAAAATCACTTAAATGCACAATATTCATTACCAAATAATGATATAGATACAGAATTTTGAATTTTTTTCTTTATATACATAATTGGTCATAGCTCCCATACAAGGTCCTTTTACGAAAATCTCTTAAACGCCCATTACTCATTACCAAAAATTTGGCACAAATATTAGTTTGGTATACAAAAATTCAATTTCAAGATTTTTCACGATCGGTTCATAACATGGGTGCGGTCGTTTCCATACAAGGTTCCCTTCAGAAAATCATTTAAACACACATTACTTATTACTAAATTATGATATAGATACAAAATTTGACTGAAATATAGCTTTTATGTACAGAAATTTTGCTTAAAGAATTTTTTACGATCGGTCTATAATTGGTCATATCTCCCATACTAGGTCTTGCCCCTAAAAGAACTTTAACCGTATTTAACTAGTTGCATTATCAATTTGTGTAGAACAAAATTATATATATATATATGTATTTTGAAAATTCTTAAATCTTTCGCACACATACATGCACATTATTAAATAT